TGAACTCTTTAACTCAGTGTTGGCTGGAACTTACTATGTAAACATACATCCATCCTCATTTATTCTGATGGTGCCCCCCTCCCCTTTCTTTTCTTCCATTTTCTGCAGCCATTCCTTTGAATAAACAGTTATATACACTAAGCTATGTTTGTGTCACATCTGGAGCAGCAGCATTACTTTTTTCAGCCTTCTATATTATGGTATGTTTTTTGGTCTCTAGTCTCTACTGTGAATATTGAACATTGTACTGGCCTTTCTATAATGGTAGCTTTTAACTTCTGGATTATTTTTTACCCTGCTTTTAGTTTGAAATTGTCATTTGGGTTGATTTAGAATCGGCACTCTGTCATTGTAGGTTGATATTTGGGGTTTGAAAATCTTGTTCATGCCTTTGAAATGGATTGGCATGAATGCCATGCTTGTCTATGTCATGGCAGCTGAGGGAATCTTTGCAGGATTCATTAATGGATGGTATTATGATGACCCACATAATACACTGGTACATTCATCTCATCTAATCTAAAAATTTCTATGTACTTTGGTCTCTGAGTTCTGGTTCAATATCCTTAAGATTTAGCATCATAATCTCTATCTTATAATTTAAGACCTATATCTTAATTCTTATACGATTCCGCGTAATTTAAAAGTAAAATCTTTAGGGAATTGCTTTTGTTATGTAACATAACTTAAAAGCAAATTTCCTACTCTCACAAAAGGAGGAGAGAGGAGAGAGAATAGGAAAAAGAGAAAAAATTTAAAGTGGGTCCCATATAAATTTGTGTGTGTAAGAAGATGATTTTAGGTTATGTTACATGATAAAAACAATTCCCAAATCTTTAAAGTACATATAATTTAGCTGGATACTGACTTGTAATTATTATTCTTGGATGATTTATTTATTTTTTCATTAATCTTTTTTATGTTTGAAATCAAAGAACATATCTATAGCTGAATACTAACTTATTTAATTTGTTTTGTCAACAGACCTATTGGATCCAAAAGCATGTTTTCATTGAAGTTTGGCATTCAAAGAGAGTGGGCATCCTACTGTATGTGATCTTCGCGGAGATCCTATTTTGGGCCATCGTTGCTGGCATTTTGCACCGATTGGGCATATATTGGAAGCTTTGAATTTTGAAAACTAACTGTGTATCCATGTTGTTGCTATATGTTCAATCTGATGAATGACTGAACAGTCAATTCGCTAAATTCAATTTTAATATTCCAAGTCAACGACACTTTTTAGCAAAATAGTTTGTTGTTATTGGTACAATTTAACTAAAAAAATGTATAAACAATAAACTATTGCACTTCAGAAAATCCCAGCTATCTCATTGGTCCTTCCACTCACTGCCATCACATTTTTTAAATAATTTGAGAGTGCATTAACACATAATCACGTGATGTAAGAGGATTTTAACTTTTAATGGGTAAATCAACGGTAATGCTCATGTTACTTGGTTTTTTCACTCTTTTGCTCCTCATTAATTATTTAATAACTATTTTGTCCCTTATTTAGAATTATTTATCAATATGTCCCTCTTTAATCGATTAAGCCAAAAATTTAATCAATTAAATGGTCAAAATAGGCAAAAATCGTTGACTTGAAGATTTAGTCGATTAAATCTTCCTATTTAATCGACTAAATCTCCTATGCATATGGTTGTTCTTCTGGTAAAGAGGAAGATTTAATTGATTAAGTTGAAGATTTAATCGATTAAATCTTCATTTGACCATTTAATCGATTAAATTTTTGGCTTAATCGATTAAAGAGGGACAGATTGGTAGATAGTTTGCAATAAATGGCAAAATGGTTATTAAATATTAATGAGGAGCAAAAAGGTAAAAAAACTCATGTTACTTCCTATTATAATATTTTTTTCTCTCATTTTCAATCACCGTTTATTTAACTATAAATGGTTAGGATCTTCCCACGTGACATGTTATAGATCCATTCCCAATCACTACTTGGTCTTTTCTTTGAGGGAGGTGTCTTGGATTATAATTTTAAAATGCTATTTTGAGATAAAAAAAATCTTATAGATTTTAAAAGACTATATAAAATTATAGTGACTTTATGGATTTCTTTTACAATTAAGATTTTATAAAATTGAATTTTAAAGGATTCTAATAGAATTTATAAGATTTTAAAGGATAATACGAATTTATAAGATTTTAAAAAATCATATGAATTTTTAACAAATATTCAAAAGTATAAGAGTCAATAAAAAAATAAAAAAATGCAATGATATTAATAAAAAAAAGTAAAATCTAATATAATTTTTTCAATCAATAATTTGATGTAAAATGATAAGCAGCAGCTCTTCACATATCTATATACCAGCCCTCCATGCTAGAGGTGGCAATATGGGTTGGCCATAGGGGTGAAAGTGGGCAGGGCTGGGCCAAGATTTGCTCCGAAAAGTCCAAGCCTATACCAAAAAATTTCAATTTAGCCTGACCCAAGCCTATTACGAGTCTAACTGTTAGCTTGCCTTGGCCCGTTTATAAAAAATCAAATGGCCTGGCCTAGCCCATTAGCCTATTAATTTTTAACTTCCAAACAGAACCATGAATCCACTTTACAAAATACTCAAATTCTATTGCTAAACCAAAAATCATAATTTCAACGTCCAAACAGAATCATGAATAACAACAAAACTCATACAATCTGCATTTAAGTCACTTTCAAAAGCAAAATACTCAAGTTAAATAACATATATTTCATCAGATCCAACAAACAAATCCATACTATCATTACTATGTAAATTAAAATAATTACAAACACATCATGATGCTTGTAGTAAGTATAACCTCTCCCAAAAATCTTGTAATATATTCATAGGTAAAGTGTGTGTTATTTTAAAGGATGTAAAGTTATGTCATTTTAAGAGAGAGAAAGAGATAGATAAAAGAGGAGAGAGTTGATAAAAAAACTAAAGGTGTGGGTCCTACCTCTTTGTGAGAGTGAAAGGATATAAGTTGTGTCATTTAAAAGGATAAACACTTTTCCCTATATTCATATACACAATTTAACATGCTAAGATGTTGGTTCCTCCTACATAAGAAATAAATTTAGATTTCTATTAAAATATAATCGAATATAATTAAGTTATAAATAATTACAATTGATTAAATTTATATCTTTTGTTTTTTCTTCAAGGAATATTTATTTTATTTTAAATAAATAATACAATATAGGCCGACTTGTAGACTTATAGGCCAGGCATTGTGATAATGGGCCTACGGCCTTTGTATTAAACAAGCTTTATCAAGGCCCAAGTTCACCCTATTTTACGAAACATACTAGGTCAGATCTGACGATATGTAGGCTGAGCCGTAGGCCCCTGTAGTCCGGCCCGGCCCAGTTTCAGCCCTAGTTGGCCGTCCCGACTCGCCATCAACTATTGAATATAGGTTGAAAAAATGAACACACTAATTAAAAATAATAATTAAAATTTTAAAATAAATTATATTTTATGTATTTTATAATATTTTTAATTTTATTTCACACTCTTCTTAATTTTTTTTAATCTCACTCTTACATGTATACTATATTCAGTTAAATATTCTGTAGGAATTTATTTGTCTCCATATATAGATAACATTTGTCATAAATAAAATTTCTATTCTTTATTTTATTTAGGGAGCACTAAGATAAATTTTTTTTGGATATCATAAAAGCTTAATAACAAATAAAATACTACTTAATTATAAAAAAAAAAAAAAAAATTATGACCTGGTGGGTTTAATTGATTTTGACCCACTTTTAGGCGGAGCGGGTTGCCGTGGGTTGGCGGGTTAAAAATCTCAATCCATCCCGCTCTGTTTTGGTGGGTTGAAGGGTTGACATGTCGGACTCAACCCATATTATCATCTCTACTTCACGTCTTAGCATCTTCTCCACGCCACGTTATAAGACCCACAATTTTTTTATTTACTAAAATAATTCAAATTTTGCATGAAAGTTTAGTGCAATTTCTCAGTTTATTTTGAATCGATACATTAAAACCTTAAATTGCTTTGGAGCTTTTAAAAATAAGTATTTAGTCATCTACTGACACAAAAATTGTTTGAAATCGTTTCCTATAGCGAAGAAATTTCATTCATAAATGTATTGTTACAAAACATAGGGTTTATATTATGAAAGTTTCAATATTTCTTTAATTGATATCGTTTTATTGATGTAAAACGAAAATTGATTTGGAGATTTTTGTTCCCCTGTTATTTTCCCATTGTTTTATATTATTTTTACTACAAAAATTACATTTTTTTGAGCCAAGAAAAATTGTGACCCATAGTTTAAAAATTTATTTTTTAAACTTTCAAAAGCTCTAAAAAATTTGTTATTCTCGAGATGGATTAGATTAGAATCTTGTTGGGTTGTTTTGTGATGAAATTCGCTAAAAAATGTGCTATTTTTGAGCTTTGATGAAACTCCCATGGTGGAACCCGATTTTGAGCGAGTCGATCCGCCAAAGGAAGAAGAAGCATTGCAATAGAAAAATCTCAAGAAATTCTAGGGGTTAGGGTGAGTTTGTGAGAGTTATACTTCTCACTAAAAAATCTCATGAAATCCACACAATAAAATTTTTATTAAAATTATAATATTTTTGAATACTACGAGATTATATTTTCTTTGTTTAAAATCCTGATTGAATACCACCGGATTTGGACGATCTCTAAAATAATCTTTCAAATCATAATCGAATATTATGTGACTTTTTTTTAGTCCTTTTAAATTTTAATTGAATATCAATGAATTTTTTTATGAAAAAATAATCCATTAAAATCCCATTCTAATACACTCCCTAAATTATCAAATCATGGTAAAAATAAAATAGAGCAAATGATATGTACAAAAAAAAAATATATATATATATATATATAGAACAAATGATATGTAAGCCCATTACTGTATTGGGCCTTAGTCATATCGCGTAAATTTGTCCAATTAAAAGGTCACCGCCCACAAACTCTGTTTCGTAAAGACGAAAAAAGAAAAGGGGGAAGTTTGGGATTGCCTCTGGAACAAGTTGTGTTGTGTGCATCGAAAGTTGAAGTTGCAGTTGCAGTTGCAGTTGAATCCCAATCTCATTAGGTTTGATCGTAACTGAATCGATGGAGATGGCCATGTTAGAGGTTACGAGCTTCGAAGAAGATCAGCTGGCGTCTATGAGCAATGATGAAATCGTCAGAGCTTCTCGTCTACTCGAAAACGAGAATCGCATTCTCAAGGTCTCTTTATTTCTCTCTTCCTAATTCGCTTTCATTCAATTCATTGCATCTGCCGGCTCTCATATCAGCACACTATAATCTTGTCTTGTCTTGTCTGTTTCTTCTATGAGAGTGAATGTGTTAAATCTTGGTTTTCACACTTTTTCTTTTGGTTTTGTTGAATTGTTTTTGTGGTTGAAGGAAGAGGTTCAGAGAACTTCTCTGGAATTGGATTCATACAAGGAGAAGATAAAAGAGAATCAGGAGAAGATTAAGCTTAATAAGCAGTTGCCCTACCTCGTTGGCAACATTGTTGAGGTCATTTGCTACTCCTAGTTGCTTTTTACTTATATGTTATTTCAGTTCTGTAGTGATTTATAAATGTCGAATAAATAGACCACTTATTCAACTTCAAGAACATCTTTACCCCAGGCTAGTTGGACTGATGAAGTCAAATGAAAAGATTAAAAGAAGGAAAAATAAATAAAAGAAAAAGGAAATAAAAATAAAATTCTGGAACTAAACTTCTTGTGGAGAATAATTCCGAGGACTATGTTGCTTGTTTACTCTTTGTATGCCACTCAAGTTGTCATCCCCTTCTAAGGTAGCATTATGTATGATGACATTGTTTCAACTTTAAAGTTGTATTAAGTAGTGAGGTTGAATTCCATACGAAAATTTTAGACTCTAAATTTGAACCCCTTTTTCCTTTTCAGTTCCAAGACCTTTATAATTTGTACATAAACATTGATATCCCTTTTCACAAATGACTTTTTAGGGAAATTTCCGAAGGCTCTATCATACATCAATTATAAGTTCAAGACGGGCATCCCCATAAAGTCGTTCCTTTCCCAACTATAGCTGAACTTGATTTCCCTAAGTTGAAAAGAAATTTTTAAGTGTTGTTTCCCTTTTAAAGTTGGTGGTACATCATGGTACATTTTGTAGCATTTGGTGCAATGAGCCTTGGGTCTGAACCTGTATTTTTAGTCGTTTGGCCACTATGTCAATCTGCTAATGTGAACGATAATGAATGATTGAATTCCGAGGTCAGGATAATCTGCTGAATGTGGAGATTTCTCTTGGTGTAGATTTAACTTGGTTTTTTCCTCCCCTAATGTTCCTCATTCTTCTCAAATTTTCACATGATATTTTCATTTCTAGATATTGGAAATGAACCCAGAAGATGAAGCTGAAGAAGATGGGGCCAACATTGATCTTGACTCCCAAAGGAAGGGAAAATGTGTCGTGCTAAAGACATCTACTCGACAGGTGACAAAGCTGATAATTTCATAACTTTTGATATTTCCATTTTTCAATTTCCAGTTTTACTGTTTCATTAAGATTGTTTGTTATTTTATTAGTGTTTATGCTTTTCTTTGGGGGTCCCCAGGAAAACATAATGGATTTGGGGTTAGTTGGCAAAGAATAGCCCTTATTATAACTTACTGCAAGCATGTACTTAATTATGTTTTCTGTTGACTGCAGACAATCTTTCTTCCTGTTGTTGGGCTTGTTGACCCTGACAAGTTAAAACCTGGTGATCTGGTTGGTGTTAATAAAGATAGTTACTTAATTTTGGATACCCTACCTTCAGAGTATGATTCTCGAGTTAAGGCCATGGAAGTTGATGAAAAGCCAACGGAGGACTACAATGACATTGGTGGGTTAGAGAAGCAGGTGCGCTTTAATTACTGGCATTTTATTGAAGACCCATTTTTTTCTTATTTATGGTTAGATAACAGGTTCTCTGTGATCAATGACTTGGTCTTTCCTAACAGATCCAAGAATTAGTTGAAGCCATTGTTTTGCCAATGACCCATAAGGAACGGTTCCAGAAATTAGGAGTCCGTCCTCCAAAGGGAGTGCTCTTATATGGACCTCCAGGGACTGGGAAAACATTGATGGCCCGTGCTTGTGCAGCCCAAACAAATGCTACTTTTCTGAAGTTGGCAGGCCCACAGCTGGTCCAGGTTTGACTCTTCCTAAAAAAATTTCCTCTTAACTTTCTTATTATAGCTAATAAGTTCGTTGTTGCTTATTTGTACCCTTTTTTTCCCTCTTGCTTATATGATTGAATAGTTAGTATTTTTAATTTTGCTGATTTATAATGTGCAAGTTTTCATTATTCTACAATATAGAGGAAACTTGTTAAAACTTGTTGAAGGATACAAATATGCTTGGGTGTAGTATCTTATGATTCCCTATCTCTTCAAACCATCTAAATAGTAGAGTTGTATCCTCTATTACATTTGTTGTACTTCTTTAGGTGTTTGTACTCACGTCTATGTGCTGAGTTTGGAATGGAGGACTGATCTAACCTCGAATTCTACAGATGTTCATTGGAGATGGAGCAAAACTTGTCCGTGATGCCTTTCAGCTGGCAAAAGAGAAGTCTCCATGCATTATATTTATAGATGAAATTGATGCAATTGGAACAAAGCGTTTTGATAGGTATGAGCAGGCAGGATTTTAGATGTACATTTGCATCTGCCCTTCTTTTTCTCTTTTTTTTGGGAAAGGGGTGGTTATTGTTTCAGTTGTTGTAGCTCAGCAACCTTATGATATATATTGATGGCTGATTGCAGTGAAGTAAGTGGAGACAGGGAGGTACAGCGAACAATGTTAGAATTGCTCAATCAGCTTGATGGCTTTAGTAGTGATGACCGGATTAAGGTTTGTCTTCTATTCTTATTTTTGTAATTCTTTTTTCTGATTGATGTGATAAAAAATGAGCTCCGAAGAGGTTTGCTGTCTTTTGGTTAAACATCGTAGAATACATCTTCTTAAAACCCATTGTTGGTGTTAGTCACATTACTTATTCATACTTTAACGTGTAACAACGTAATGGTGCTTACTTAGATTTAGAACTTAGAAGTGCATCAAATGTATTACATTTTTGTTCAGTTAGGATTTAGGTGATTGAAATGTCATTTTCATTTATCTTGCAAATTGCAGGTGATTGCAGCAACAAACCGTGCAGATATTCTTGATCCTGCGCTTATGCGTTCTGGTCGATTGGATCGAAAAATTGAGTTCCCACATCCAACTGAAGAAGCAAGAGCCCGTATTCTACAGGTTTTGTATCTTCAAACTTCACCTGCTGGCGTAATTTTCTGACAGAACATTTACTTACTGTGTTCACGTTAATATTATAGATCCATTCTCGGAAGATGAATGTTCACCCAGATGTCAATTTTGAAGAATTAGCTCGCTCTACAGATGATTTCAACGGAGCGCAACTAAAAGCTGTCTGTGTTGAGGCTGGCATGCTGGCCCTTCGCCGAGATGCAACTGAGGTTTGCTTTCTTCCAAGATATACAGCAACTTAATAGTTAAAAAATCATGATTAATCTAGCATGAATTTACCCGGTGGTCATTTCAGTCTGAATCTTTCTTTTTCTTTTATTTATTTATTTTTTTCTGTTTTCTTTTAACATTGCCTTTATTCCAAAAATGTTGTCAATAGTTTTGTGGTTTTCTGATTCAATTCAATGCCAAAGCTTAGGAGGACCAAGTTAGAAATTCTAATATGAATCCATCTGCGTATGTGGGAATAATCATTAGGTATGTTTTTTGTCCGATTGCAGGTGAACCATGAGGACTTTAATGAAGGTATCATTCAAGTTCAAGCAAAGAAGAAAGCAAGCTTGAATTATTATGCATAAGTACTCAAGGCAATGGAAAACCAGCAACGATGTTCGACATTTGTTTGCTAGTGTCAATTTTACTCGAATCATATGTAACGTATAGCTTGTCAATATAATCATTCAACAATTATCGAGCAGCAGACCGCATGACATTGAGCAGGCTATGCAGAGTGCGGCTTCTTAGTGAAGTCGATATCTCGTTTACAAGCTTGAATAGACAAGAAGAAAATAATAGAATACATTTGAAGATAATGTACAAAAAAATGGTTGTTTGTGCCAAACTAAATCCTGTCTGTCCCTATCATTGCAAGTGTCCAACCCTATTTAGATGGATTTCATTAATTAATTGATTTAGCATGGGACTTGTGCTTTAGGGAGCCAATCACTAGACGCAAAACCGTTAAGAAATCCCTGCATAAAGGACAACGTTATTATTTCGGAAAACAATAGGACAACGTTATTTTAAAATAAGCGAGGATACTTATACAAAAATAAATAAACAAGTAAAATAAGTGAGGATATATATTTGTAATTGTTAATTGTTTTACAAATTCATTTTAAGAGTCACGATGTACATGAAATAAATCACTGTTATAGATATTTTGTTTTAATGAATTTAAAGATGATACTTTAAAAACAATTTGTAAATTGTAAGTTGTAATATTGTGTTTTTTTTATTCTTAGTTCATAGATTACACATTTTTATTCTTCTTTTTTTAATAAAAAAATGCAATTACAAAGTTTGCATAAATTTAAAATTTAATTAGAAATAAAATATTTCTATGCTTAAGATATAAATTGAAAAAAATCAAAACTCACAATATTTTTTATAGAATAATGTTAGAAATTTTTTTCTATTAAGTGTTAGTAAGTTATATTAAACTCCATCACACAGGTTTTTATTTTTCATGTGTAATAATCTTCACTTTTGTCGTGGAATCAGAAACTACATTGATTTGATACTTCATATTATTGTATTTTAATGAACGCGGGACATGTGATTATGTTATTATATTATTATTTTGTTTATGATAAATGAATTTAAGCCACATTCATAAAAAAATTTATACAATAGTCACATTCATAATTAACTTATTGTACTTTTGTAATAGATATTGTATTCATGATTAATATGAAGAACTTGAATTTAATAAAAGAAATGAAAAATAAAGTAAAATACTTTTAAAAAGAAATCGAATAAATTGATTGAGATTTTGATGTTTTTCCTTTTTTGACATTTATGTTATATATTATCCTTTTTACACTAGTGAAAAAATGTAATATTAATAAAAATTGTAAAAAATTTCTTTTTTTATACAATTCACATTTTACAAATCTAGTATATATTAAATGAAAATATTAAACATATGCTAATTAAACGCGTGAGTCATGTAGAAAGACGGGTTCAAACAAAATTAAACCTTACTCTCGACCGTGGATGAGATTTGCTTGGAACAGTTTTTATTTACAAGTCCACCTAGAATATCCAACGGTCCAAATACACACACACACATAGAGAGAGAGAGAGAGAGAGAGAGAGAGAGAGAGAAGCGCGAACCATTCGTCTCCTGTCGTATTTCTCTCTCTATCTTCTGAACAAGAGAAAGAAACAGATTAGAATTTAGATCTCATCATCTCACACACGTAAACATGCTTCCACTTTTTCCGTTTCCGAAGCATTCTCTTCTGTGTCCTAACTCCTAATCCTAAGTGAGACCCACACACACACGCGCGCGCACACACACACACACGAAACACACAACACAACACAACACAACACAAAGCCTTGTTATACTGATTTGATGTCATTTTAGGGTTTTGAATTGCAATGGGTCTTGGAAACGATGACGATGACGGAGACACGCACAAGTCCTTTGGTTCAGTGCCTTGCTCGATTTGCCTCGATGTTGTTTCTGATAACGGGGATAGATCCTGGGCCAAGCTTCAATGTGGCCATCAATTTCATCTCGGTAAGTATTAGATTGTTGCACTTTGTTGTGTTTCAATTCAATGCATCCAATTTGATCGCATTACAACTGTTATCTGTACTCGCCTTTGAGAACGAAGACCGATTTCCACGTAGCCTGAATTGATTTGGAATTTGAACGATTGAGATCTGATTTTCAATTTTTACCATTGACGACCGAGAGATTTGAGGAACGCTTCTTTTATGATAATATGCTGACAATTGTGTTAAAAATGTTACTCGATCAACCCCGATTTCAATTTTATTATTAGGGGCAAAGGGAGATCTTTCCTTTTATTTTTCTCATCTGGCTCAATATTGTGTTCCTGCAATTGAAATATAGCAGCAAACCAGCATAGTGATTTGATGAATTTCTGCTTGCAATGGATATCTTCTGTAGTAAAGATAACTCTCGAATCTCATTATTCTTTTTAAACTGACAGAAGCTAACTCTTTTGGAAGACATATTTAATGGCACTCAACATGGTTGAAGAATTATCTAAATTAGGTTAATTAAATTAAAAGTCATCAATATATCTGTTCTCCTTTCCTTTAATATTATTAAAGGCCATCATCCAAATCATTGCTAGTTCTCAACCAAGAAAAAGAAAAATGATAGATTGGTTTTGATGAGCTGGGCAAGGTGCATCAGGGTGTCTTCACTATGACTTGACTTGAGCCTTTAGCTTTTACACAAAACCCCATCCCCACCCACCCCCGACTAGGGGTGGCAATACGGGTCAACACGACACGACACGTTTTTGACCCGTACACTATTTGACACGACCCTGACACGCCCCGTTTTGTAAACGGGTCGTAAAACACAAACCCTGACACGACCCGTTGCGGGTCACGGGTCGACACGACACGATCCGCAAAATTTAAAATTAAAAAAAAAAGTGGGATTTTTTGAAAAATAAATAAATTAAAAACAATAAAAAATAAAAAAGATTAGTTTCTGTTTTTTGAGATTTTTAGTTCCTTCTATTCTTTTCTATACTAAACAATGACTATATATATCAATATATAAATGAATAAAAATAATAATATAATAAAATATTTAATAAAAAAATAAAAAAATGACACTGTGCGGGTTGACACGCGAACCCGCGGGTTGACACGTGACCCGACACGAAAAAAAGGGTCACATTTACTCAACCCTGACACGACCCGCCCTGACCCGCGGGTTGACACGACACGTGATTTGGCGGGTCGGGTCATGGGTCAACCCGCGGGTCAATACCTGTATTGCCACCCCTACCCCCGACAACCTGTTATAATGTTGGAGTGTGGAAAAGTGAAATCGGAAAATTTCTGGCTTATATTAGTACTTCAATTTATAACGCTTATATACATATACTTGTTTAAAGGCAATATTTATAGGTTTCATGTTTTACTAGAATGAATTCTTTAACAAGCTAATAGCTGCATCTACATGAAGTCACATCATATTTTTGTGCTTCTTATTGCCTTCTTTATATCGTTCAGATTGCATTGGCTCAGCATTCAATATAAAAGGGGCAATGCAATGCCCTAATTGTCGGAAGATTGAAAAAGGTCAGTGGCTTTATGCTAATGGTGGTCGATCATATCCAGAATTTAGCATGGATGATTGGACGCATGATGAGGATCTATCTGATCTTAATTACTCTGAAATGGTAATGAGAACTGCATGCATCTTTATAACTGTTTCTGCCATTTTGTTTTTATATTATACCATAAACATGTGTTTGCATTGTCTTATTTGACAAACAACCTTACATAACTATTGACTATTTATTTTTATTTTCATTTTTCATTTTGGAGTATGTAAACTTATTTGCTGCAGCATGTTATTGTTTTAGAAGTTAAAAAAGCATATACTCCATTAATTGATAGCGCTGTTTCCCTTCCTTCAAGCCACTTAAATCTATTATCTTTCCATCTGCATATATAAAATGATTGTTTCCCTGACATATACCCATCCATCTCATAAAAGCTTTATAGAAAAATATTTTTTTGGATAAGGAAAAAATATTATTGAAAAGAAAGGAGAAGGTACATTAGGCAGAAGTATATCAAATTCTCCAATGTAGAAAAAAAGTAAGGAAACAGCGAGCCAAAGTAGCGTAAGCATGGGACATAGCTGTCCAATCTCATCAATAATTGAAAACTTGTTGAAGCACAACAATAAGAAGAGCACTAAAGAGGCCGTAAGCACAATCTCATACCTTAACAAGTGTAAGGGTAAAGAGTTACCCTTGAAGATATGGTCATTTCTTTCCAATTAAATACACCAGAGAACTAAATAGACGGCATTGCCATAATAACTTACCCTCTTTTTTTTTTTCACAACCATTTTAAAAAATTATAAGAAATTGATTTAAGGTGAAAAGACACACCCACTGCTCAACAAGTCTTTTAACAGATTATTCGATAAGTAACCACCTTACACTGTAAAATAGGTGGACTAATGTTTCTGATCTTGGCATGCACATAATGCATATCAGGAGAGAGCTGTGACTTGGCAACATATCCTTTGTATCAATCAGAGCTATTAAGTACTATTGTGCAGAGAAAAGACATGACCCTAGAAGAACATTAACCTCATATCATCGTGACCTCTACAGACATTTGGCCTTCTGCTGAGTAACTTTAAGTTGTCAGCTAAATTTTAAGTAAATTTAGGTACTTATTTTTATATGTATGTATGAGAAAGAAATTGTAAACACATACTTTGCTTGTTTTTTATCAAAAAGGTTTTACCCAGAAACTTTTGTTTTAGGACGGTGGTTAGCTATATGCCTTTGCCAGCAGTATTACTTATATCATATTGCATGAAAAGTATACTTGAGTAGGAAAAGAAAAACTAATTTCTAGATTTAAGAAAAACTGGATGTTGCTTGCATTTAGTCACTCAAAATAATATTTCATTAACTTAGACCTGCTCTGAAGTAAACTCCCTCTCCTATTTTTTTGCCTTCTTCATTCCTATGCCTTAGCCAATCTTTAACTCTTCAAAGTGTACAACTAATCCCTTCTGGGGCACTCTTTTTCTCCAATACCATTTATAGCACATAAATGTAGACAAAATTCATTTTTTTAATGTATAAGTGGTTGGAATTTCAAGGTTGGTATTACCTGCTATAACTGGAATTATCTCGTTCTTTTTCATTTTTATGTGGGTAGATATATTTTGCTTACCATTTTGACTAAAATTAGATTTCTAAATGCTTTCTGCAGTCCTTTGGAGTTCACTGGTGCCCTTTTGGTAACTTGGCCCAACTTCCTTCAGCTTTCGAGTAAGCTTATATTTAATATACCAAAATATGCATGCAAACTAGTCTTCGTCCAAATTCCTATTTGTCATATTCTTGTGTTCTTTGAAATGTCTGGCCCCTGAGAAAGCATGCATAGAGGTTTTTGTGAAGGCATCTAAGATGCATTTGGTTCTTTCCTTGTTACTGATTCTGCTTGTGAATTTAATCACATTTGATTTTTATCTACCAAATTTAGTTTTAGGTCAACCACATATTATGAAAGGTTAATTTTGGTGTGTTTAGCTTGGAATCAGATTAGGTTAATGAAGTCAAATGTGTTTAAAGCTAATGGTGGTATTAATACCATCTGAATTCTACAATTCAGATTATACTTTATAATAAGACTTTTTTGAGAATAAGAGGACTACGTGAGAAAGGCTAAGGTATCTTAAGAAAAGCATTAAGAATTTGAAAACAGTGGTATCACTAGAATATGAGAAGTTGGTTTCTAAATTGCTCCTTTAAGTCTTTGTTCTTATTAAGACTTTTATTTCCAATAGAGTCAAGACAGAATTTCCCTTCTTCTGCTGTATAAGCCATACCAGTATACCACACTTGGGAATCATAGACATAGTTGACCAGTCTAGTTTTGTTAGGAACTGCTAAAATTTCTGGGGAAGTCAGTATGAAGGATTATGTTTTAGGGTTTTACAAACTTCTTGTTATTGAATTTAATCTCATTGTTACATTTTACTTATGATATGTTAGGGATAATTTTTTTTGGGAAAAATTACATATAGGAATTCTTGATGAAAATACTGAGTTTAGAACAATTAATCCCTTCACTATGATCTTGGCCGTTTGTTTCAGTGCCATTTTTTTAGATATTGACCAGGAAGAATGCAAGCTGTATATGGAGAATCAGCCTTCATTTTCTTTTTGTCATGCTCATTTACATGTATCTTTGTTGTATATGACTTCGTATATGAATTTTTTTAGTAAAATATTGTAGAGTTGGATTGTGTATGTTTGTTTAACAAAGTAATTAAACATGTTGAAGGGAGTAGCTTTTATTTTGTGTATGTATATGCCATGAAGTTTTATACTTTTTAATATCCTTGGTGTTTCATTTCCGCTTGTTAAAATAGTAGTAGTAGTAGTAACGAACCCAGGGAAAACCACATGGTTGAGTGGTAACTGTAATATGGTTTGATTTGCCAATGAACTCCTAGCTGAATTGCCACCAGGCCAAGTCTTAAGTTTTGGGTGTGATGTTGATGTCAGGGGTTCTATTCTTCACTAGGCCACCTTTTCCCCTTCCCTACGTAGTCAATCTAGTATAGCACTTCAAGAATGATTGATAGATTAGTAGGGGACATTACGCATCATCCCACAGTCATGGGTTTAGTTAAATTGATATTGCAATCACTTGCACTTAGTTCATGTTAGGAGCAGGGAGAAAATTGTTTTTTTTTGCGGAGGTGGGGTGGGAAGAATTGTTGAATTATTTATCTACTCATATTAGTTGATCCATTTGAAGAATTTTGCAGCCCTTTTCAAACAAAACCAATGATTGCTGTTGATTACTTGTTAGGAAAATGTGTCATTTGGATCTTGGAAGTGTTAGACAAAAGAAAGGCTTGTATATTTGATTCATGTGCTTATCGATGTGCAATTTATTCTGTTATTCTTTGGTAGGAGTGGAATGCTTAGATTGCTAATTTTTAAATTAATCATTATAAGATAGGATAGCTTTTAGTGCCTTTCTTTGGTGTTCTATACACTTGTCTTTCAAGTCATTTCTTTGCTTCTATATAGCAGATAATGAAGAATTCTTTTGTATTAATCTTGATGTTGGTGTTTGTTGGTTGGAGGCAACATCCTGCCTAGGCAAGGCTAGGTGGATCAAAGTTAGATTGAACTATAAGTTTGATTCGTGGAAAGGCACACACTGCTGGAGGCAGGTGGATGGTTGTTTGTAGCCCCGCTTGCCTTGGCAAGGCCTATTTAGGGTTGGAGTCAAATCGAACTATAGATTTAATTCTTGGAAAGGCATTGATTGCTAGCAAGTGTTGGGAGAGGGGTTGTTGTTTGTAGGCAAATATCTTACCTTGGCAAGGTTAGTGAATCGAGGTTAGACTGAACTGAAGGTTTGATTCTTGGTAAGGCACAAACTGCTGGAGGTAAGTAGTGCTGGAAGGGGATTGATGGTTACATGTCAGTATCTTGCCTTGGCAAGGCCTAGTTAGTCTTGGAGTTAGATTGAAACTGGTGCTTGCTAATGGATTTAAGTAGTAAAAGTTGATCCTTGACCAACAACTATAGCTTTTGGCCTAGTGGTAAACAATTGATCCCACAAGTGGTATGAGAGCTAATGTCATCGGTTCAATTCTTGCAAAGACAAGGAGTAGTGCGGGTTTTAGGCCCTTAGCAAAGATTGCTTGAGGCAAGTGCTATGAAGAAGATTGTAGGTTGCAGGTCAGCAACTATGAATAATAATTATAGCTTTTAGCCTAGTAGTAAGTGTCTAATCCGACCACATTTTTACTTTTGATGCAATGTATGAGGATGATAGCCGCTAGGCTTTTAACACAGGTGGTTGATGTGGCTGTGGGTTTGGGTAGAGATCATCGGTTTGAAAATCTCATGCACCCCAAAAAGTTTAAGGATATATCTTATCCTTCTTGTAATTCTCCTTCCCTTGTAATGAAATATCTTATTTTATTTAGTAGAACTAAAAATTAGTAGTGCTATGTATGAATGGTGCTGGTTTTGATTAGAAATTGCCGGCATTTTAGCTAATGCTAGTCGTTTCCAGCATATAATTTGTTTAGAATGTTATGTTGGGGTTTCAAAACTGATCCAGTTCTGTAACTATTTTCTATGTAGAGCAAAATCATGGTCTCTATTGAAAATATCGAAATGGAAGACTGGTTGTGGTTGTATTAGTATGTTATATTATGGAGTATTGGGGGAAAACAGATTTTTGGTGATAATGGTGTTTGGTGGTGTTATACTGGCTTTGGTAATCCATGTACTGTTCCCCATCCCCCCTCTCCCCTCTCCCCGTCCACCCAAAAAATGAAAAAGCAAACACTAAGGAACTGGTAACTCATTGTGCTTTTTGTTTTTCCAGGGAAGGGGAATTTCCATCAACTGCATGTAAGATCCTCTTTCCTGCATATAAGCCTCCTTTTCGTCAACTTGCATTTGACTGAATGTTATCTCGACTGCAATTTTGAGATGCAGATCATGATATACTGGGACAACATGCTATTTTTGCTGAACATGTGGCTGTATCGTCTGCTAGTCATCCTTGCCCATATATTGCTTACATTGGACCAATACATCCCTCCACCTCCAATTCTGGTGGAACTATTTCAGAAGCGTCTAACTTTAACCACTGGAATGGTCCACCTGTACCTAGTGACATGCCAACCTCCTACACATTTCCTGCTGTGGACCTCAATTATCACAGTTGGGAACACCATTCCTCTCATTTCTCTTCCGCCAGCAGCCGTTTAGGCGCTGCTGATCAGCCCTCAGTATCAGCTGGTAGTCAAAGACCAGCCAGGGGTGGTTCAGAAGTCCCTGGATCCGGATCTTTAATTCATCCCTTCCTTGTTGGTCACAGGTACCTCTTTAGAGCTCGTGTACTTTACTAGGATGCTTTTGTTTGCAGAAGTTAGTATATTGCTCAAGCCTCAAATGTAACTTGATACGAGACAAATTATATTATAGGTTTATATTGTTATATGATGCCAAATACCTAATGAAATTGGGTTAAATACAACTGATAGATTAAAAAAGCGATGCAACTAGGCATCTTTTGCTGTCTGGTGGTAATTTGCTAAAATCATGAGGTTGACAATGTGTATAATTCTGCAGTTCTGCTGCAACATCTTCAATGATCCCTCCTTATCCAGGCAGCAATGCTCGGGCCCGCGATAGAGTTCAGGCTCTTCAAGCGTACTATCAACCTCGGCAACCTCCCAATTCTACCACAATACGGACACCTGTTGCTTCTGGCACTCGAAGATCCAGCAGTCATAGTGGGTCAGCTCAATTAGCACCAGTGGCCTCGTCAACAAACCAAAGTGCTGGCTTTATTTATATCCCATCAGGACGCAATTTCCAAGAAGAAACCCATCTGCCAAATCGTTTTCATGCTTGGGAAAGAGAGCACCTGCCTTCATTGTCTTTAAACCACGTTGGTAGAGAATCAAGTTGGAGAGCATACCACCAGACCCAGAGTGCCAGCGGGTCAGACCCAGGTATCAGATCCGGCAGCTTTCGAAGGCACGAATTAGAAAGAATGCCCTCACAAAATCGGTGATAAACTTATGTCAAATTACTGTTTTATGAAAAAAATCAAATTTTATGTATGCTTGAGAAATGTTGCATAATGCTTTGGCCTGGCTGGCGTGTTATGGCAGACTATATACTCTAGCTGGCCTTGGAATTGATCTTTCTGGCAGCCTTGTGGCAGTGTGATGGACATTAGCTTCCTCTAGTTTCTTTGCCTCGGCGGGAATTAAATAAGATGGTATCTAGGTGGAAAAATCAGGTTTTTTGTATTTGAGATAAATCAGGCTTCTGGCAGCAATGTTGGGGCATTGTCATCTAAAGTGATAAATCAAGTGGATGTGTAATTGTGGTTGGATTTGGAGTGGATAAACTATTTACGTTTGATGTTGATGCTCATGCCGATGTTTGTATTGAGAATACGCTTGGTGACAAAGGTTGTGCAAAAACGGGCGCAGGATTCGGAGCTCGCTTGAGAATTAGTCAATTTGGATACTTTAAAGGCTGAATTAACGAAAGAATCTTTAGTCAAAGTAGTTATATATCATTATAAAAATATAATAAATAATTGCCTACTAGAGTATTGAATGGGGTAGTATGAAAATACGACAAAAGTCACCAGAAAATATAATTTATATATTTCTTTTCAAATTAGATTTTCTTACATGTATGATGTTTTAAACTCAAATACGTAAACAACATCATTTGATATTTTGACATTATTGGTAACTGAAATATAAATCTGGCAAAGAGAATATAGTTTACGGAGTCTCCTAAAGATAATTTTTATTTTATCTTTATTCCACTTAATAGAACATGACCATATCTATGATATCCATATTCTCTATTTATGCTAAAGATATCAGATGTGAATTTTTTGGTATATATATATATATAGGGTCAGGATATACTTATCACCAAAAATATTTATCACATTTACAACCAACTTAATTATCATTGATTTTCGTTAATTTAACGGTTATAATTTATTGGAAATAATAATTAATTAATAAATGCAATTCAATAATTTTCAATAAATTATAACTATTAGATTGACGGAAATCAATAGTGATTAGGTTAATTGTAAAGGTTGTAAATTTTTTTAGTAGTAAGTATATCATTTCCTATATATATATATATATATATATATATATATATATATATATATATATATATATATATATAGATGCGGTATCTAGCATGAGTAAAAAAAAAACTCCCCAAATATAATTTTGATTATTAAATTGGAGAAGGATATTGTAACAACTAAATTATGTTACTACCAATCAATCTCACTGTTAGATCGATTATGTTGATCCAACGGTTATATTTATTTTTATCTTTGTATGGTCATAATTTCTCAAATTTAATACTTTATATTTATTTCTACTTTTGTATGATTATGATTTCTCATATTTAATGCTTTCACTTTAAATATGAGAAATCATAATCATACAAATATGAAAATAAATATAACCATTGGATCAACATAATCGATCTAACGGTGAGATTGATTGGTAATAACATGGTAGTAACACAACTTAATTATTACAATATCCTTCTCATATTAAATTTACCTAAATGCATGACTTTACGTAGAATTTTTTTTTTTTTTTTTTTTTTGCGTATTCAATATAAACACGGATTATGCCAAAACAAAAATAGGGAAAAAAAATAGTTTCAAAACAAAAATGGGAAAAAAAATATCAAGATTTTGATGCAGGTGCCATAAAACAGTATTTGTTTTTCTATACCGAATTTAATAAATTCTCTCATTTTTATTATGATGCAAGAGGCGCACGCCAATCTCTTCTGGCGTTCGACACCATCATTTGGTATTTTTTTTGACATTATTGGTAACTGAAACATAAATCTCGCAAAGAGAATAGTTTACAGAGTTTCGATTATTAAATACATAACTTTACGCAGTTTTTTTTTTTTTTTTTTTTTTTTTGCGTATTCTAATATAAGCGAACAAAGCCAAAACAAAAATGCGGGTAAAAATCAACATTTGATGCAGGTGCCATAAAACAGCATTTTGCTTTCTATACCGAATTTAATAAACTGTTCATTTTTATTTGAGGAGCATAATTCTTACTATCTCTTTTAACTTACAATTTATTTTTTTACCATTGATTTTTATCAATCCAACAATTATAATTTATTGAATCATATTTATTAATTATTAATTTTCAATAAATTATAACCATTAAATTAACAAAAATTAACGATAAAAAATAAATTATAAGAAATTATAAAACTTTTAAGTTGCACGAATAATTCTACTCTGTTAGAGGTGAACACAAATCTCTTCCCGTGTTCGACGCAATTCTAGCTTCCTTTCTCGTATCGGGTTTTGGAAATATATATAAGTGAACGTCATAGCCCAGGGTCGCATAAATTATAAATTTGTGCTATTACAAATGTCACAAAATTATAGCTGTATTTTGTGAGAAATTGTGAAACTACCGATACTCCAATACTTTAGAGCCAACAAATAGGGATGGACATGGGTCGAACCGAACTGAATTTTTTACATAACCAAACCAAACCATTTTTTAATTCGGTTCGGTTCAAAGAACGGAACCCTTTTTTTATTCGAACTGGTTGAATTTGGTTCAAAATTGGTTAGAAACTGGTTCTACCCAAACCAGTATCTCGACATCTCAACGAAATTTAATTCTATGAAAGCCCTCTTCTCAAAACAAAGCATTCAAACAATGAAGAAAAACTAAAAACTAAAAAAAAAAGGAGCGTGCTCTGAAACTTGGCGTCAACTAGAGATTAAGATCGGTCATATGAAATTTGGTAAATTCGTTCGATCGCTTTCGTTTTCAGTCGAAAGCAGTATTATTAGTCTTCGACCTCGAGAAACGCAAAATTGGGTTCAGATCTCAAACTAACAAGTGACTTCCTATTCGGATGCGTCATCGGCGATGGGAGTGGGAGCGTCTAGGCCATGAAGCTCCGACATGGGCCTCAAGGCCACCACGGAGCTTCTCAATCGCTGCCTGGCACAAGTGGCAGTTTCCGGTCAACAGAAGCCCCATGGTGCCGTTCACAGGGTTCATAGATTGAAACAGAGCTGCATAGGAAAAACATTTCTTGAAAAGATTTCATGGAAGAAAAAAGAGAGTGAAAAACTGATTTACTGAGATACTGTGATATATTTGTTTTCATGATTAAGGTTTTCGTTAAAAAATTTCTTACTTGGAAGTCTCTGTTTGTTAGCTAATTCATAGTGCAGATTGAAGAGAAGTGAAAAACTGATTTACTGAGGTAGTGTGCTATAATAAGTAATTGGTTCGGTTAGAACCGGTTACAAACCAGTTTTAAATTGGATCATTACTAAATTGTTTTAAAGTTTTAAAAGCGGTTCCAGTTAAAACCAGTTTTCTGGGTTCAGTTCAATGTGGTTCTTAAAACAATTCAGTTTTTCTGGATATTTTGAACATCCCAGCCAACAAATCATATAAGCTCAGGTGCAATATTAAGAAAAATGCTAAATGCTAGGAAAAGCAATGAAGACATGTTCAATCCAACTCGAGAAAATGGAAAATAAGACAACCGATTCATAGGAGAAAAGGTACGAGGAATGAGAGCCAAATTATATGTTCAAATTGCATAACACTGTCAATAACAAGCCCATCCAATACCACAGTAGCTAAAAAGGTTGGTAAAAGTAAAACTACTAAACGAGTAAACGTACATGCCATGACAAAATGTAACATAGCCTAACCATGCGTTAAAAACAAGTACTCTAGCCATCTAGAGAGTTGACAACACAGATTTATCAGTTCTGAATCCAACCATCTACTTTACATGCACTACAGGAACCCCACCGAAAAATTAAAATTAGATATAAAAACTAGTTGGGGCTACATAAGAATATCAGGTGTCCTATTGCTCACCTATCACGGAAAATGAGTGCTCAATAGCGGTCTCTAGAGTTGACAGAACGGCTGCGTCCAGATCTCACCTGTCAATTAAATGCAACATTAGAACCTTAAAGAATTTTTTAAAACTAGGAATGAGGATTTTATAATCAGCTAAATGAATGATTAGGAATTCAGGGACAATAAACATACCGAAGGCGAGATTGTGAGCTTCTTGAACTTAGGCTCAGACTCCTACGCTTGTAGAGCTCAGGCTGCACAGTATATTAACAAAGCCATGAAACTATATTATAGAGTGCATTCTCGTAGAGGTAAACTAACCTAGGGATATAAATTTTCACGATGGTTATTGTTTGGCAGAAATGATATAAAAAAGGGAAACATCATGCAAATGTCAAGAGAAATTTAATATGATCGTGCATGTTCACTCCATTCCTCCCCTTTTTGGATAAACTAAGGTTAACACAAGTTAGATGACACTTACAGATGAATTTGGCGATCTGGATCTTGACAAGGATCTGCAAAAATTTTAAATGAATGACTCGGTTCAGTATCCAGAATAAGACATGAATTTGTTTGCTCCATGAGTCCGATGTTACACATCAAGTTACCATGACCAAAAGGAAGAAATTTATCTACCACTAGTCTTGCGCAGCATCCAAGTGGAAAAGCAAGTGAAACCAGTATCACACATTTATAGTCTCAACAATTGCTATACAATCTATTGCTGGCAGTTCGCAATGCCATGAACCAACCAATCACGGGTAAGGTGTAACCAACAAGTGAATATGGCAATAAGAGAAATCCTAAAAAAGGGGGGCGGGGGGATATGATCAACCCCAGAACTTAGACCACAGGTTATGTTGTAGTAGTTTTTTTATTGTAACACAGCAGATTTGCAATTGTTGGTGCCAATAGCACCAGGTTCACGGTGGTCCAGCTTTTAGACTGCAACTCATCCATCTACAGTCATCCAGTCTACAACAATGGCAGACCATGCCTTACATCAATATAACATTACTATTATCAATTGTCACAGCATTAAGGTGTTCCAGAGGTACTCATCAATAAATTGGTATTACCTCAGACCACAAAGTAGCAAGAGTTTGAGCACCACATGCCATCAAGTTCCTAACATGCAGTCCCCAGGTCGCTGCAAAAAGCCACATCTATAAAACAAAGAAGTCAACGCTAATGAACATCGTAGTTCGTGACCAGCTTCACGAACCACTTCATCAATGCCCCATTCCACCTTTCCACATACAAAGAATTGTGCTGACAAATCTATGGTCAATAGGTTTTATGAGAAGAACAGCGTGGATCGCATAATACAATGTTTACTTTCAGATAACTAATTAAAAATTATAAGGAAAAGAGATGTTCCCACCAACTTGCACAAAAAGGAAAAAGAAGAAGAGCATTCAATGTGAGACAATTCTAGGAATACCATCATATTCTAAGAGTGAAAGTACCATCCACATCCACAACGGAAACTGAATGCAATACCGTATAGATCAGAGAATTTCAAAGGAAATGAAAATTTGAAGGCCATTTTTTATACGCAAAATATGGAATGACATTATATCCTTA